AATTGTTTATTATTCTATAATATTACTCAACAAACAGGAAAAGCATTTTCATTCAAAATATTTCATATTCTTTTAAATAAATCAATACCATTCTAATTTGATTTCGAAACTCATTCAAGTTTTATAGTCGTCTACCAATACAGCATTGTTCATATAGATTTGACAATATTAAATTTTTTTTTATAAAGTTCAACAATATTTTGTATCTTATACGTGATCATAACCAATGCTATATTAAATATAAAATACATTTTGTACGACATTTGAATTTTATAATTTCTATTTTGAATTTCAGTACAATTGCATTGCATGTGTTTTTCGTGATAAAATAATATTGCAAAGCATTATAAACTCGACAATTTTTGATTTTAAATCAGACAAAACAATTCATTTTTTTGTTTTTAAATTTTATGTTTAAGAAAATTTCTTGATATTTTCCAACTTAAATCATAGTTTTTATTTTTCATTTTTGTGCTATAACATTTTTGCATTCATATGCATTGAATAAAACATTTTCAAATGTCTCGTTATATTAAAAAAAAAAAAAAACAACAACAAAGTCATTTTTTATGGTGGCAATTTTGAAAACCACTTATAAAAAATGAAATTTTCGATTTAATATTGTCATTTTGATGTTCAACTTGTACAGTTTCCCAAAATCGAATACTAAAAATATTAAAATGTAAAAAATCACAATAAATAAAAAATTTTTATTTTAGTATTCAGGTAACATGATTTGGATTACAAAACATGCTTTGGTGAAGAGACAGAGACTAGAAAATAAAAGATTATAAAGATTAAAGGATTGTACTTGCACTTGCATATGAAATGTACAAAAAATTGCATGGTAAACGGTGTTGTTTTAAGTTTCAGAATTGATGTATTTCTGCAGCATCAGTATATATTGGCGTGTAAATATAAAAATATCAAATCAAAAATTTTAATTCTTTTCTTAAAATTTTAAGAGAAATTTTAGATCATTTGCGTGCTATTAATAATAAGAAATTTGCTTACTCTTAAGTAAGAAATAAATATTAATTAAAACACAATTCTTTCATGGCAATTGAATCTAGAGTTCAAATTTAAAATAGTTAGATTTCATAGCCTTTAAGAACAATAGTACAAAAACACGGATCCAATAATGTTGTGATAAAATGACAGTTTGTTTAAGTTGATCTTTTATGATTAGTCTGCAGCAGACTGTGAATGTAGTAAGGAAATGGGAAAAATATTTCCGTATAGGAGGCGATTTCAAAATTCTTTTCAAGTTATGATAGAAACAAAAAACACTCATCCTATAAATATGCAATTATTATTAAAATTTTGTGGAGATTGAATTAAAATTGCAAATTTTATTTTTGACTTTTGCAATCGAAAAATTTTTAATCAAACTTTTTTCTTAATTGTTTGTTTACACAATGTTTTTAGTTACTGAAGACACAAAGTTCAACAACCCTTTTCCTAACTAAATCCTAAAATAATTTAAAAGGACATTTTTTCATTTTGTTTTCTGTATTAAACTTTAAGAAAGTTCTTTGAATATTTGAATTTTTTCTATTGGCTACAAAACAAACTTGAAGTTTTTACATTACCGTTTGCTGACTCTAAATTTATTCATTGAAAAGAAATTATTTGGCTCTTGAATACTCAGCGTCTTTTATTTTTTTTACTATTTACTGAAGATTATATCGTTGAATTTCATTGTTTTATAGAAATTGAATTTCAAGAATAATATTTTAAAGTGAATTTATATTAAATAATCGTATATTGTTGGTGTGTGTGTAAGAATAAAAATAAAATGCATTGTATTAAAAATTTAATAAATTCAATAAGATTTTTTGTTTGAATAAAAAAAATTAACTGATTTTGTTGTCTGTAGCTGTTTTTATTTTTAATTAGAGTAATTAAAGGTTTACTATACTTTTTATACTTCCGTTTTGTCAATGATTCCACATCATCTAGGGTTCAAAGGGAAGACATTTAGAATAAGTAGTAGGTGTATATAAAAAAAGCCAGAGAATAAGACAACAAGAATAAAATAAATACGGGCTCCGAGTTGTATATACGCCTTAACAGTACACACTTAGAAATTTATTGAATATTTCCAAAGCGTTATTAACTTCTCCAGTTTTGTTTTCAAATTCTTTTTAATTAGAAATTGGTTTCTAAAGTTTCTTTTCGATCATTCTAACAAAACATTGCAAAATTTTTGAAAGTGGAATTAAAATTTTAAAAACTCGACTCTACTATACAAGACAACAAAAGGTTTGTAATTTATGGATTGAAATTGAATATTTATTATGATATTTTAAATATTTGATTGGAACTTTAAGGTTTATAGTTAGTTAGAATGTGATAACAAGGATTATTGATTAATATTTAAGTACGATTGAATATTTTGTACCTGCTAATGATTTTTGCAAATATTTATAGAAAAATTTTTTGATTTAAATTTCTAATACTCTTTAATTACCCTCTGGCCTTAAAATTCTTTAGTGCAGTGAAATGGAAAATTCATATTTGCATTTCTTTTTTTTTTTAATTATTTTAAATTTTTCTTGTTCAGTGCAAATCAAACTCACGCAATATTGTTTGTGCAAATGAAATGAGTGCATTAAAATTGTCACATGCCTATTAAAAAAAACTCTTTTTAAATTATCTTATAAATACCGTCATTTATTCATAATATGTGTAAATATTTACATTACATAAAAAAATTATAATCTAATTAACCATGTATTAAAAGAGCCTCACTCCAATAAATGAATAAAAACACAAATGAATAAAAACGAAATATACAACTTTTGGTTTTTTTTTTCATTTTTGTCATTTAATATGCATCTGTGCATTTTTGAACTTTAATATTATCCTTAAGCTATTTTTCTGCAATATTAAATAAAAAACGTAAAACATACGAGTATGTACAAAATGCTGGCATCTTTTCTCGTGTTTCTTTGAATTATTACCGAAAAAAAACAGGAAAAAAACAAACGTAAAAATAAATTAAGGAAAGTGGATGTTGTTCATTACCACTGTAAGATACCAGAGTGAAAATCAATATGATTAATAGGATTAATTTTCCAATTTAAAAATGAATTTCTAAATGACATGTCAGTCGCCTCCTAGATAAAATTGAACTTGCCATACCAAAAAAAATTTGGGATGTTTCTAGCCCCCCGAATGCTATAAAGGATTTGTGGGTATGACCCATAAAAAATAAAAATTATGACTTGTGAGGCAATTTGAAATATTGAAGAAACTAGTTTACGGTAAGATTTCCAAATATATGAGCGTACCACTAGTTATTTTAAGTAAAATAATTTTATTTTGAGAGAAAAACTACCAAGAATGAAAACAGATGACATTATTATATTTCATATATTGAAAAGGGTTTATTTCGTATTACAAATGAAATCTCAAATTCGTACTGATGACTGAATAGAGAAGGATTTTATAATTTTCACATGTCTATGGAAAATTTTATTAAAGTGTTGGAATTAAGCTAGATGCAGCCATAATATTAATTCATCACCGAAATAAAAAATAAAGATATTTTGTAAGTGTGATTAATTTGCGAGAAAAATTCATTGTACCGGAATAACAATATTCCTTTTTTTCTCTTCATTTTTGTTTTATATCCTGGGGGATATTATGTTTCACCGAAGCGAAAATGTAATAGAAGTACTGCAAAAAAAGTGATGAAACAAAAAAATCATTTTCTTTTTTAATTTATTTTTTTTTGTCACAATCTTATGTGCTCCTATAAAAATTTTAAGAATTTAAAATGGGAATGAAATCAGGGTCTGGGAAATGGTAATTAAGTAAATTTTAGTTCAATTTACTAAAGAAAGGAATTTTATTGCAATCTATTTTTATTAAATTTCAATATAGGTTTCTTATAGAAATAATAAAATATATTTGTAATAGCACAAACTCTTTATTATCTATATCTATAATAAGGGACTCTTCTTCCAAGAAATTTAAATTTACGAAATATATAAATAAGTGTTGCTTTAAATTATTTATTAGAAATCAATAGTACACTAACAGAAAATGTCCGGTGTTACAAGTGCCCGAAAAAAGAGCGTAGAAATTGCAGAAAAATCATACCTAGTCGCACTTACTCAGTGCGTGGGAATGCCTTACCGGACACATTCAATAAATTAAGTAATACTCAACATTAATTTTCAAGGAAACACTGTCTTAGTTACAACTAAAATGTCATTTTTTAAGATGTTACGATATTTATACTAGCACGACTTTACTGATATAAACAAAGTTTATTTATTTATATTCAGATAGCTTTCATAAAATTAATAAACCTAAGTATGTACATATGATTTGAAAAGAAATTAAAAAGTTGTTGATTTTCCTAATTATTCACATCTACATACAGATCTATAATATATAATTTTCGATGTATAGTTATGAGAATAAAAATTTTATTTACATAAACATTCACAAATTAAAAATCGATTATTCAATTATAGCAGCTCTTGTGTCGATTCAATTATTATTGCATGACTAAAATAAAACATAATAATTTTTTTTTGGTAAACAAAATTTTAATAAAATTACAAAATTTTACCAAAAAATTAAATTTCATATTAAAATTATGTTTCACCATTTATAATTATTATTATAAATACTCATAATAATAACTACATACTGATATAGAATATTGTAGCTATGTAAATATAGAAAATTTCAAATTCATATTGTATTTATGAAACAGTAGCAGCATAATATTCACAATATAACACATGTTTAGAATTTAATATTCTATGTATTTTATATAAAATATTATTATCAAAAAAAAAAAGGATATATGAAATAGGAAATTATTCTTGCAGCAATGAACCGGATATTCAAATCAAATTAAATATAGAAATATTATTATAATGGAATGAAACTTATTTATGTATGTATAAAATATATATTTTATATATATATATTTATATTAATATTACACAATAATAAAAATATTTATGTACACATACCTGTGTTTCAGCAAATATAACTCTTTTGCCTGGCATTGCACCAACACCATTTGGCATCCATGTACTAATCAATTGTGGTTTTAATTGTTCGTGATCGTGGTCAATGCATACAATTCCGGATTCAGTTTTCTCATCTGAGAAATGGTATAGTATCGTATTAAGGAATGTTAATGCTGGATTCTGTGTTGCTAACCTATATGCAATAAATTAGAAAAAAAATATTAAAAACAAAAATACAAAATTTTCGGGGAAAAAACAAATTTATTTAAAATATTTTAAAAATAATATAAAAATTTTTTACACTTTTGTATATAATAATATTATATGTATGTAGAATAAAATTCGAAAAACCAAAAAATAAAGCAATTACAATACAGATAAAAAAGAAAAATGTTCCTGGCAAGTGCATTTAATATAAGGCTTGTGGATTGTATTCACATTGAAAAATGGGAGAGTTAAAAAATATTGAAATTATTTAGGTGAAATTATTTTTAAATATTTTGGAAAAGAAAGATTATAGACAAAGTTAGGTCCAGTTCAAAATTGTTCGGCGCCCTACGCGGTTTCCAAAAATTAATCTTAAAAATACAATCCAAATTAATTCAATTACCAAAAAAAGTCGTAAATGAAAAAATTATAAAAAATTTTTTAAAAATTTAGTTTTTGTTTAGAATGGCACATTCTAACAAATAGCCTTTGAAATTATCAGAGTTATTTACTTATTCGCCTTGTATTTTGGGGGTACTTATATATTGTAAAATTATAAAATTTTTCTTCTTAATTTAAAGTTAAAATTTCAGAATAATAATTTCCAATGCAAAGGATTTCTATGATATTTATATGATTTTAATTTTGTTAAGTTTATCAAATGAAATAATTTATATTAAAATTTTGTTTGCAATAACATTATGGAAGGAAATTATATTGTTTGCCTTAACTTACTTTTAACTTTTAATATACAAATAATCTTGTGTAGCATACAAATGTTCTTATTTCAATTCGATAATACAGTTCTTATATTCCTATAACAGTAAAGGATATTTTTTAAGGACTACTGGAAACTCTAACAGATGCATATACCTGCGCATATACATACAATATAAAGTAGTATAAATGCAATATGAATCCAGTTATTTTATTTAATTAAAAATAAAAGAGAATAAAATAATATAAAAATATAAAATGTTAAAAATCTAACATAACAAATCAAAAATAACAAATAAAAGAATAAAAACAAAGAAAACAAGGAGATCAGAAAAATTTAATGAATTTTTTTTACATTGTTATATTTTATAAAAAAAAAATTATTTATAGAACAGACCGTAATTCGTCTAGGAAACGGAAGTATTTAATTTAAATGTTTCACTTGGTCAAATTGTTATACTCACTATGAGTATAATAATAAACACTCAAATACATAATATTTATATATGAAAATAATTGAAAATTTAAATTAAATATGAAAATTATTGTACATATGGATGCAAATATTTTATAATTGGATATTGTTCTCATAGTGTACAAGTATATATTCGGAAATTAAATATACGGACATATTCTTGGTAATTTTTCGTAATTTTTGATAATTTTGAAAATTTTTTTAAACTAAAATCGAGGTTAATTTTAATAATTGTTTTAATAAAATTTGGTTTTTTTTATTGTTTTAGGAAAACTTCATTAAAAATTTTTGGGTAGAGGAAGAAAAATATTAAAATTGAATTTTTAATTCATAATTAAAATTTTCTAATTTGTGGTTTTTGGTATATTTGAATTTGATTTTGTTTTTCTATAATTTCCAATCTTATTTTTTTTAAATAAATATTTATTATACTAAAAAATTAATATTATTATTTACTTTATTTGTTTCTTTGTAGTTTCATCTTCATCACTTAATTGCATTTGTACTGGTGGTAAAACAACAATACGATTCCATGGTACAAAAACTGTTCTAGTAAGTGGTTTAAATGGTGAACGTTGAAATTGTAATGTTACAGCACCACCACCATTAACTAAAACATCAAACCTGTAATGAAATAGAATAAAATTTAATTAATTATAAATATTAATTATGAATATTAAACAAAAATTTAGTAAATAAATTGAAATTGGTATTGCTGTTTTATTTTACTAATTATATTTTTCAATTAAATTTTTTTTTCTGAATTTTCGATTTTTATACGTAATTATGTTTGTATTGGAAAATTATTTATTCTAAATTGATTTATTGAATTTTATTTTTGTTTTGTGGTGATAAAGATGGGTAACAATACACAATAATATTTCCAAGTTATATTCGATATGTGAAGGGGAAAATTCTCTTAGAAGAAGGATGAAAATGATGAGTAACTGTGAAAAGATATCTAATAAAACTCCTTCTGCAAAAACGATTTACTATGGATTTTGAATTAATTTAAAGATTTAATTAAAAAATTACTGAATTGAAGATTGGAAATTACTGAACAGGACAAACTGTTATAAATTTTGTTTGAAAACTGTTTCTAAATATATTGTATATATCAAATACTTTTAGATTAATTGCCAAGTTATAATATATAATAATATAATTATAATAATAAAGAACTGTGTGCACATATTTTTACCTTTTCTTAATTCCATATTACGATTAAAAAGCTAGTAATTAACTATCAAGTTTGCTTGTTTTCATATATGAATATTGTTCTGATTGAATATCGAATTATTTGAATACTGATAATTATAAATAATTAATTTATATATATTATATATAAATTTTGCAATTTGTATGAAAATATAATTTAATATTGTTATATTAATATTTACGTTCGATATTAAATATATCCTATATTGAATTTTTAATTTTCAATTGAAATTATTAAATATGTACCAATATATATTTTTTGAAATAGTGTTTATTTAAAAGTGAAAATGGTTATTTTAAATAATTATATTTGACAAATATTAAAATAAAATATACCAATAAGGAAATTATTCAAACAATTTTTGAAATTTACATTCGTGGTGAGGAAACACTAGTTTATAATAAATTTATTGGGAAATAGTAATGCCAAAAATTGAAATTTTTGATTATTTTTTAAACATATTCAAAAAAAAAAAATTTCAAATCAAAGGATTAAGAAGGTAGATATAAATAAAACTTCTTCTTATTGTGTGACTTTTTATGAAAAAATCATATTCAACTAGAAAGTTTCATTTTTACCGACCGTATTGTGTAAACAATAGGTAGGTTATGTGATGGCAACAAATTTTGCATATCGAGTTTTCGGTGGGAACGTACTTCTCCATAGTAGGGAAGTGTAAATAAACTATTTTTACCAACCTGTCGGTCTGTCGGTCTGTGTGTGCACGAGTGTATCTCAAGTTAGGCTGAACCGATTTTGATGAAATTTTATATGTAAGTTTGTTTCCACCATGGCACGGATCGATCAACTTTTGGTATATATCAGGCCTCGGGAACTGCACTTTTTAGCGGGCCTGTTTTACTTTTTTGAACATTTTGAAGAAAATATTCAACCGATTTACTTGAAATTTTATATATAAGCTCAGCTCGACCGTCCGCAAAAATTCGTATGTTTTGGAAGAAATCAGGCATCGGCAACTAGACGTTTACTACGGGCCAAATATACATTTTTGTGTATATAAAGAGAAATAATCAACCGATTTCATAAAAATTTAATATATGAACTCCTCGTATTAAAACAATGAACATATAAATTTTTTGGAAAGATCAGGGCTCGAAAACGGATTTGCGGGCCGATTTTACACTTTTCACCATTTTGAAGAAAGTATTCAACCGATTTACTTGAAATTTCATATATAAGCTTTGCTCGATCCCACGCAAAAATTCCTAGCTTTTGGAAGAAATCAGGCATTAGCAACTCGGCGTTTACTACGGGCCAAACATACACTTTTGTGTATATAAAGAGAAATAATCAACCGATTTCATTGAAATTTAATATATGAATTCCTCATATAAAAGCAATGAACATATAACTTTTTTGGAAAGATCAGGGCTCGAGCACTGATTTGCGGGCCGATTTTACATTTTTCACCATATCCACAGAACGAATTGATGGAATTTCTTGAAATTTGATATTTGAGTTCTGGTTGTTACCGAAACTAACTGGCGAGCATTTCAGGGAATTCGGGTAGCACAAAGCGAAACATTACTAAGAGCCAAATTTACATTTTTCTAAGTATGTTAACTATAAGCTTACTAATGTCCTAAAAATTGGAAAGAAGTATTTAACAGACATTTTTATAATATTCTGTAACACTTTCATTTAACTAGACAATACACAATGCGGTCGGTTATTTGCTGACCACATCAGATTTTTTAAATTGTTATACAACCTCGAAACATAACAATTAAATATATTTTAACTTCTAAGTTATGCTCATAATCAGTAGTTAAGTATACGGATTTTCATAATAATAGTTTCAAGATTTGCAAACTTCATTTAAACAATATTTTTAATATTTTATTTCAAATAAATTAGAAATTAAAATAGTATTCAAAGTCATTCCAAGTTTGAAAATAACTAAAATCAAAAGGTAATTGATTCGATTATATTTTTCAATTGAAAATTTTTTATTCCAAATTTCAAAACTTACTGAACAAAATTTAGTTATGAGAAATATTTTAAATTTTACGGGAAATAATAGCAAACTGCTTCATGAATTCGACTATTAATAAATTTTACATATATGTATATATACCGCACCCAATTAGCACAAATGTGACAAACATTTTCTACTACTACCCCGTGATCACCAGACCGTCATTGAGCGTATACAATTAAAATTGGCCTATCTAAGCTACCCGGTTCTTTTAAGGAATATATCTAAATCCCCAATATTGAATTTCGATATTTCATCCAGCTCCGTCATACATGCTCTACATATACATATATGTAGGTAATGAAAATTGCAAATAGTTAAATTAAAAATGTAATATAAAACGAAAATAGTGCATAAAATATAGAAATTATTTTTATTTATTTAAAACTTTTTAGTCTATATTTTAAATTTTAAAGTTTTGCTATAATATAGGACTCAATAAATATTAAAAATGTAGGCCAAAGAAATTAAAATTTTTTTCTTACCTTTTAATTTGCTAAGAAGGTAATTTTGCTGATCTTATTTAATTATTATTGTACTATATATATATATATATATATATATATATTATATACTATATATATACTATATTATACTTTTTTTATTAATATAGTATATAATATATTAATAAAAAAAGGGAAATTATTATATTTGAGAGAATAAAATTTTACTTTAAATATTAAAAATTCAAATAAAATTTTGATATAACTTTTAAATCCTTTCATTTTGAATTAAATGTAGTAATAATAATAATTATTTTAATTTTTAAAAATTTTCCTAAATTGTATTATTATTTAATTTTAGAGTTTCTATATATACATGTTATACTTTTATATAACTAGATATATATGCACCTTAATACCCAAAATGATGTATTAAATAAAAATATGATAAGTTTTCTAAAAAAAGAAAAATGTATAACAAAATTAATAAATAAAAAAAATTTCATAATATAATATTATTTTGTACAAAGAATTAAAATAATATTATATTAAGAAAAAAAAATAGAAAAATAAAAAAAACAGAAAAAGAACACCTATATCCTTTTATCATATCTTTAATCTCATCATCTCAACCACTTCCATTTCCTTATACTTCAGTTCAATTTCTTTATACTATCTTCATCTTTCTCTCCCTTTATACTATCATCCCATATCTTATATATAAAAAAAAATACAATTTAATCCTTAACATTCCTTTAATATTCTTTACAAGTTTTTATATTTTTTTGTGTGTTTTGATTTTTTCTCTCTGCTCTTTTTTGTGGTTCTTTTTTTTTTTTTGTTATACATTTTGTTTCTTTAACTCTTTATTATTTTAAACATGAATATAATAATATTTATAATATTAACTTTAACGTATACATACATTCATTCATACTATCTTTTTATAATAAAAAAAAAATATATAGTTATGATAACATTTGAAAAATAAAATTGAGAAAAATTGAGGAGAAAAGCGAATTTCTTTTATATTAGAAACTCACTTAAAATTTTTTTTTAGTTTTCTTTTTTGCCCTACCTACCCACTTATATTTATTTAAAGAAAACATTATATACAATCATACACAATATATATAATATAATAATTTTGTTATTTATTTGTATACAACACAAATATTTTTATTATAAAATTATCATTTTTTTTTGTGTCTATTTTTGTATATAAAAATGGTATTAGATATTATGACCACAACACTATACATTTATTGTACCTACGTAATAATATACCATAAAGGAAAACGAATTATATAAGAAACTCTTTTAATCCTCTTATTTATAAATCCACTTAAATAAAAATATATAGTTTAAAAATCACTGAATCATAAAGAAAAGAAACGAAAATTGTCCTACATAAAAGTCGTATAAAAATAATCTTTGAGTATATATACGATGAGAGGGAAATTAAAGGAGTTTTAGATTAAAATATTTTAGAAAATAAATAATAATAAAATTGTGTTGGCTAAGCATTTTCAGTTGATTTTCTTCTTTTCTTGAAATTTTGAATTTTTAAACACATTAATAGTGTGTTATATTTTAATTACAAAAATTTAAATTTTAATTGTTTTGTAAAATGTCGTCTATAATACTAGTCATATATTTGATAAATAGAGTAAATGACGTCTTATTTAAGAGTTGGGCTAATGAGAGTTCAATTTCCTTTTTTTTTCAGATATTTTACAAAGAAAAGTCGAAATTTTTTAAAATGAGATATTATTTTTTGGGTTATTAGACTCAGAGATAATTTCGAGTGAGAATCCAGCTATTATACTCATTACACGATTAACTTTTCTGGTTTTAAATTTAAAATCTGAATATCTACCTTATTATTTTTGAATTTGAATAATGTAATGTAATTTTGAAAATTTAAAACAACAGTGTTAAGTTTATATTTAATTATATTCTC